GGGCCGAAGTCCTGAATGTGCGGGCTGGGGAGGGATGCTCTGCCCGGCCGTGGGGTGGCAGCTGGGCTGGGCTGCTCTCTTAGCAGTGACAGCAGGACCCTGCAGGCTCCCAAGCAGCCTGGGACCCCCTTAAAGACTGGGACAGTTGCTTCTCCTTGGGGCCAGCTCCCCTGCTGCCCCCCCCACAGACCCTGCAGGGCTATAATGCCATGCCCAGCTGGGATGGACAAACCCTGTGGCCCTGCCAGCTCAGCAGCAGCAGCAGGAGGGGTTGGTCTCTTTGCCCCTGCTGAAGGCCAACACTAGCCCTTAAGGGGGCTGCCAAAGCCCCACAGCCCCCCCCCATCCTAGAACTGGGGAGCACACAGGGACCTGGAGCCCAGGGCATGTCACTGTGACCTGCCTGGCTGTGTGGTAATGGGGGGAGATGGAGTCCAGGGTGCCAGGGGTTACCCCCCAGCCCACAGGGGCTTGTGGAGGTGCTGGGGGGCTGGAGTGAAGCCTCACTGCCCCCCCTGGGGTGCAGAGGGGCTCCTTGCAGGCTCCTCTCCCCACCATGAGCCTCAAGGATTGGGTTACAGCAGGAGCTTCTGTTTGGGTTGAGATGGGTCTTTTTTTTTCCCTGTAAGCAGAGCCACCCAGGGCCAAACAACACTGCAGAGCAGATCGATGGATGGTGCTGTCTATTCTGGGAGGAATAAAATGTCTTTACTTGAGACGAGGCCAGGGGAGGTCTGTGGGGGCTGGGAGCATCCTCTGCTCCCTGTCATGGTGCAGGGGAGCACAGCAAAAGGCAGCCAAAGCCACAGCACTTGGCACAGCAGTTCCTGGGCTCTGCTTTCTTGGAGGGTGCTCTTGGTCTTCTGGACACTTTGTCTGGGATCACTGGGGGGTTCTGCTAGGAACCCACTGAGGAACACCAGTGTGCCTGCTGCTGCCAGGGGAGGATGAGGAGGAGAAGGAAAAGATAAGGAAACCCACAGGAGACTTTGATTTCTGGCAAGTTTCTATTAAGCTCCAGCTGCTTCTAACAAGCTCTACCAACTGCCCCTGACAAAGCAGGGCTTGAAACCCCTGCTCCAGCTGAACCCAGGTTAGGGAGGGGTCAGCATCCCTTAGGAGTGTGAGGGGGAAGCCCATATAAAGGCCAGGCTCAGAGCAGCTGTGGGGCAGCTGGCAGGGGTTTGTGCAGGAAGGTGGGCTGGTGGTTTGGTTTCTGTGGCTTTGCTTCTTTTTCTTGTGTTTTTTTGCATCCTCTGCTCCCTGTCATGGTGCAGGGGAGCACAGCAAAAGGCAGCCAAAGCCACAGCATTTGGTACAGCAGTTCCTGGGCTCTGCTTTCTTGGAGGGTGCTCTTGGTCTTCTGGACACTTTGTCTGGGATCACTGGGGGGTTCTGCTAGGAACCCACTGAGGAACACCAGTGTGCCTGCTGCTGCCAGGGGAGGATGAGGAGGAGAAGGAAAAGATAAGGAAACCCACAGGAGACTTTGATTTCTGGCAAGTTTCTATTAAGCTCCAGCTGCTTCTAACAAGCTCTACCAACTGCCCCTGACAAAGCAGGGCTTGAAACCCCTGCTCCAGCTGAACCCAGGTTAGGGAGGGGTCAGCATCCCTTAGGAGTGTGAGGGGGAAGCCCATATAAAGGCCAGGCTCAGAGCAGCTGTGGGGCAGCTGGCAGGGGTTTGTGCAGGAAGGTGGGCTGGTGGTTTGGTTTCTGTGGCTTTGCTTCTTTTTCTTGTGTTTTTTTGTTTTTGTTAAAAAAGAAAATTGCCAGCACCTCTTCCCAGAGCAGAATACATGTTCTTGGCACACTGAGGTCACTGTGCCCAGCAGCCATTGGAGCAACTCTTCCTGCACTGCTGGAGGACACAGCCTGGCAAGCCCTGAGCTGCAGAAAGTGCCTGGGGCCTCTTGCTGGGGCTGGGGCTGGAGCATCTGGCTGGCATCCTGCAAGACATGTGGGGTTCTTCACATCCTCCAAGTGGAGGAGCTGCTGGAGGAGCTCAGCAGGCTGTGTGGGATCAGAGAGGGCATGGAAGGGATTGATTGGATCATCTCTGAGACCCTACAGCTACCAGAGCCCAAACCTCCAACGATGGGGTTTGGAAGTGGAGGTGCCTGCTGGTGAAGGTTGTCCTGGTGACTCCTGGCAGCAGAAGGATGTCTCCTGCTCCACCTAAAAGCTTGTGGTTATGGGCACAGACTCCAGCACCCTCATTGCTGGAGAGATGCAGGAAGCTCCAGTCATCTTCAGGTGACCTCTGCCAGCTGACCTGGTAAGGAGAGCTTTGAACTGGGAATGGCAGGGGAGGGGACAATCCTCAGTCAGGCTGGGACAGCAAAGGGGTGTCCATCTGCTGCTGGGAGGGTGATCACACCCTGGCCAGGGCTGCTCAGAGAGGCAGTGGAGTCTCCATCCATGGATTCACTCAGACCCCAACAACAAGGGGGCTGGGCTGGCTGAGCTCCAGGTCCCTGCCTGGGAACCTTCTCAGCCACGTTTGTGTCCCCAGAGCCTCAGCACTGGAATTGCTGCCGTGTTCCAGGAGCCGGTGCCATTCCCCGTGCCGAGCTGCTAATGAGGGAGCCAAGCTGGTGCCAGGAGCAGCCCAAAGCCCCCCCGTGGCTGGGCTGCTGATCCTCACCTGCTCCCTCCCTGCTGGCCTCCTCTATCATGAGCAGCTCCTGCTGCTGCCCATCTGTCCTGCCAGCCCCTGCTCCCAGCCAGACGATGGTTGTTGTCCCCGGGGCTGGGGTTGTTGCAGCTGGGCTGACAAAAGCATCCCGGGGGATTTTCCCCATGGCCTGGGGGGTTTCAGCAAGCTGTCAGCCCCCACCTCGGCACTGCCTCTAAATTGGAGGCAACCTAACAGCATCATGCTCCTCCCTCCTTGGGGAAAGGGAAGAGGCTCCTGGCATTGTGATGGGCTGAGACCAGCCCACTCAGCTCACACATGAGGCTTCCAGGCAAGCTCTGGAGCAGGGAATAACCCCCCCAAGGCCTCCAGATGTCATGCCCTGGGTGGGTCTGTGAGCCCTGCTGTTGCTGGACACCCTCCCCAGGCAGTGCAGCCCTGCACCAACATCAGCCCCAGGCACCCTATGCCTGCCTGTGTCAGCTGGGAGCTGGTTGCATTTGCCTCCTGTGATTGTTTGCTGCTTGGCCAGGGAGTGAGCCAAGTGCGTGCAGGATGGCTCCCCAGGGGAAAGCTGTGTCCTTCACATCCTGTCCTTCCCTGGCTGCAGTGGCCTGAGGCAGCTGAACACCCTCTCCATCCCCCCCCGGGGCTGGGAGAGGGCTGGGAGGGCCCTGCCTGTGTATCCCTCCCTCCCGGGCTGGCAGAGCAGCCTTCCTGCAGCAAATGTCTGTCCCTTTCCAGCCTCCTCACAGCCCCTCTCTCCCCACTGTGGTTTTCAGCCAGGGTGTGAAAGGATCCTGGTTAAAATTAGCTAGTTTTGCTGGCCTGGCTCTGCCAAGGCAGGTGAGTTCAGGGCAGGGTGAGCCAGAACTCCTGGGGTCTCTGCCCATCAGGGTCCTGAAATGTTTTTCCAAGCAATTTACAAGGATGCTGGAGAAGCAGAGGGTGCTTAAAAGCACACAGCAACCCTGCCAGGAGCTCAGATCGTGGCCAGGCAGTAACTTGTGCAGCAAATGCATCTGCTCACCAGCAGCCCAGAGCTGCTGAGCCTTCCAAAGCCTTTCTGTGAGGCAAGGCTGAGCCCACTGCTGCCTGGGGCTCCACAGCTGCCAGGGCTTCAGGTGCTGCCTCCATCCCTGGGACACTCAGGGTTGCCAAGACCCTCCATCCCTAGCAGCAGGACATTGAGGTACCAAGGACACATAGAAGCAGGGATTATACATTCCTGTGGATGTTCCTGTCAGCCTGGGAAACCTTAGCCCCTCTGCTCTGGGCTGCTTAAGTCCTGGGGAGCTCCTGCTCTGGAGAACTAAACACTAAACAGCTCCAAGAAGGAGGAATGAAGATGCCCACCAGCCCTGGGCCCTTGCCAGGGAGAACCACCCCAGCCCCTCAGCTTGCTCCTGGGCTCAGGAGAGGCTGCAGCACCAAACACTCCCAGACACTGGCACTGGTGCCTGGCAAGCTGGATTCTCTGCCCCTTTGCACGGGCACACCCACAACCACCTCCTCTGGGGGTCTAGATTAGTCTTTGGGGTGCCAACACCTCCAGACAAATACCCCTGAGCCTGCTGGTGGTGCCAAGCCCCCCAGTTCTGACCCTCAGTGGGGGGTGATGACCACCTTCTGGAGCTCAGAGAGGACATCCCACCTCACCCAAAGGAATCCCTTCCCAGGAATGAGGCAGCTTTTGGTAAAGGAGACTTTATTCTGCTCAGTATCTAGTCCATAGTGCAAAAAGTTAAACTTAAGGCAAAGCTTTCTCTTTTTCTGTATAAACAGGCAACAAACAAAACAGGCTCTAAAACAACAAGCGTGGCTGCTAGAATAGAAAAAGGGGTTGAGGGGAGAAACTGCAGTCCTGGGGAGGGGTCCTTTGCTCCCCTGTAATACACGTAGGAAATGTTGCACCCCAAGCTCCATGAGCTGGTCCCAACCAACCTCCAGTGCCTCCCAGAGCAAAGCCACCCTCCAACAAGATTGCACCTTGCCACAGCTCAGCTCTACAGGGCAGAAGTGTCTCCCAGCATGGCCTGGCCTCTCTGCTGCCTCTGTTTTGGCTTCAGTCCTTTCTGAAGCAGGAGAACAGAGAAGGAAGACCATGCCAGCTGCCTTCAGGCTCTTGGCCTGCAGTCCAGGAGACAAGACTTTTCCCAGTCTGGCTCCAGCCAAAGCTGGCTGGGGTGTGTGGTTGAGCTCAGGCAGGCAGCTGGAAAAGGAAAAGCTTTTTAGTGCAAGGTCTTCTTGCAGCCCAGCAATCTCTTGGAATGGTGCTGGTTGATCAAGCCACCTCAGCCTCCCCCCTCCAACCAGGATTGGATACTCACTAAGACTCCAGGGGACACTTTTAAAATAAAACTAGCTACATTTCTACAAACAGTAAGACAACTGCAGTGTAACCCTGCCCAAATCAAAGACAGCCATGGTCCTGGGACTGCTCCATGCACACCACTGCAGGTCAGCAGCACAGATATGCAGAACTTGTGCCTGGAGCTGGAATGTCTTGATGGCTCCCAGGAGCTCTGGGGTCCCCTCTCCTGAAGAGTTACTCCCTCCAACCAGCCCAGGAATCAGCAAACACTCCTGTGAACCACCCAGTTAGTTCCAGGCCACTCTGAGCCTGAAGAAAATGTGTCATATCCAGCGAGGATTCTCCAGCATCAGCTCAGATGTCTGCTGCTGCTGTGGGCACAGGCTGGCCAGCCACCCCTCAGAGTCCCCAGGCACCACCACTGCCCCTCCCCATGCCAGTAACCTGATGTGTGCTTGCTAGGCTTGCATAGGTGATGTGTGGAAGCAGAAGCAACACTGAACTCTGCAGTCAGGGAGCCCACGTTCCTCGTGGCTCCTCATTGTCCTGGCAAGGGCAACAGAAAGATTCAAACCCCACAGCGTGGTGGCTGGGGTACTGAAGTACCCCAGAAACTCTGCTCTTCCCCAGCTGAGAGCCAGGCTCAGCCCTCTGGGAATCAAAGCCTAAAAACAACTCCCCTAAGTGTGCTCACTCCTCCCTTCCCAGGCATCTCCCCAGCTCAGGAGGAGGCAGAGCTCTGAACACTGTCTGCAGAACACAGCCTGCCAGGTAGTTTTCTGATCAGATGTTGGGAGGAAAGAAAACAACCCTCCCTTGCCTTGCACCAGCCCCTGAGATGCCCAGGAGGGCACAGCCTTTAACTGTGCCATCAGCTTTGGCCAGGAGGGGCCAGAGCTCCTTCCTGCTGCAGGCTTCAGGTCCTGAAACAGAACAGGTTGTCAACTAGAATAATAATAACTAAAAAAAAAAGAGAGTAACTCTCTCAGCCTGATGCAGAGATCAGTTATTGTGCTTATTAGCAACAGCTACAACCTAGCAAAGGTGGCCAGCAGACACCCCCCCACAGCCTTTTGCCCGTTCAACCACCCTTAGTTCTTTGAAAGCTGCTTGAGGCAGCCCTGGGGAGTTTTGCTTCCTGGGGAGTCCTGCTTCCTGGGGAGTCCTGCTTCCTGGCAAGAGGCAGAGCCAGGGGTGCCCTTGTGGGGCAACGACCCGAGCAACCCCCTCTCTCTGTGTGTCTCACAAGTAGACATTGAGGGTCTGGAGGATGACCTGGCGGCACAGGGGGCAGTTGCGCTGGTAAATGGCCTGTTGCAGCAGCACTTCTGTGCACTCCTGGCACAGGCACAGGTGCCTGCAGGGCAGGAGCAGGACTGTCTTGGTTTGGTCTTGGCAGATGACACACTTCTTCCTTTCCTCCTGTTCTTTTAGCAGCATCCAGGGGTCGTTATCCGGGCTGCCCTCCCCGTCCCCCATGGCCGCGTTCAGCTGCTGTCTCCTCACAGCTTTGCCCCAGGAGGTGCCTGGTTCCTCCCTGGGGGGCTGGAGACGTTCAGAACTTCGACTCAGAGCTGGTCTTGCTTGTGGGACCTGCACTGCTTCTGGCTGGTCCTCCTGCAGGGCTGGCAGCTGCCCCATCCCAGCCACCGCCAGCCTGCCAGGAGCCACTGGTCTGAGGGTGGGCACAGCTGCCCCTCGCTGGTTGCTCTCCCTGTTTGTGGTTCTGCCTCCTCTGCTCCAGTTGGTCACCTGCAGGCTCCAGTCCACCAGCCTGCGCCAGGCCTGGGAGGTCATGGCCATTCCCAAAGTCAGGATTGCCAGCTGGTAGAGCCTCCAGATGTCCCGCTGCAGGCGGTGGTAGGAAGGCAGGGTGTTGAGGTAGCCCAGCACGTAGCCCGTCAGCGTCCAGAGCAGCCCGGGGTTGAAGACAAAAGCACTGACCACCACGAGGAAGAGGAGCAAGGCCAGCCCGTAGATGTTGACAAAGAAGACGTTGACAAAGAGCTCGGCCCCCGTGGCCAGGAGCCTGAGGAGCAGCTGGCAAGGCGACCACAGCAGGATGGAGAGGGCGATGGCCCCGCTGGAGACGTGAGCCAGGAGAGCGGCCAGCAGGTCCGTCACCCTGAGCACCGGCCCGACCAGCGAGTCCCAGAGAGCAGCCAGCAGGGTGAGGAGGTTCTGAGCGCCCAGCAGGCACATGTTCACCAGGCTGTTCACCAGGTAAGCCAGCAGGCTGGCACCGATGGCCAACCCCTCGCTGAGCTGCCGA